ACTGTAGTGTCCCCATAACTGAAAGCGAGCTCTTCATTTTCCAAAATGACCCTGGAAGACAAAAAGCAGACTCTGGGTAGCAGAGCTCCAGAACTTCGCACTATCAATGTAGAAAGGTTACCACCATCACAGGAATGGTTAATGAAGCGGGCAATATTGCCAATTCTGGTAGCATCAATGTTGATCCTCATACACGCATTTCCAGATGGAAGGTGCTCCTTCACAACCAGGAGTGCAGGCGAAAAGTGGCCACTCTTTGAAAGTTTGTCATATAGCCTCTGGCGATTTCTTGCTTCCTCAGTGGTCAAAAGTTCTCCTTCGGAAAGAAAAAAGAAAATCACAACCCAAAACAGGAACCAGTTTGTCAAAAAGAAGCATTATAAGTACACATCACCACAAAAAGAGCAAGAAAGTAGATAACTTTGTCCACGTTGACAATTTTCAAGTCTTGAGAAGTTTGAGAAAATTCATATATATACTGTGTTTACTGTTTAGTGAAATGCCAAGAGAACTTCACCAATTTCAACAATTATTGTGGACACCACTCTCAAGAGAACAGTCAATTTAGCTTTATTAGATGATTAAAAAATGAGAAAAGGCTCAAATATGCTGTCGAATAGCGGTGGCAAATGGGCGGGTTGAAAATGGGTCAACATAAAATGGGTAATAATTCAACCCGTCCATATTTGATATAGGTAAAAATGGATTGGGTAACAAATGGGTTGGGAAAAATACTAGTTTAACCATATTTTCATGAGTAAATAGTACTCTACTTAAGAATTCAACATGGAAAAATATTTTAGCTTTTTTAGATGAAAAATGTTGAAAATGCTTCATTTAGTTTTATTGTATCATAAAAGTAAAAAAAAAAATCCTATAACTTTTCAATAAAAAATAATAAATAAATTTATGTAATACCAAGGGAAAATATTTTTAATTTCAAAGTAAATGAATATTTGCATTTTAGGACTAAAACATGGTTAATGCACTTTAAGCAATGTCAATACTAATACATGATTTGCTTATTTTACACTATTATTTATTATTCAATATATAATTAAACAAATAAAAAAATATAATTATAATTAACAAAAGAAATGTACATTTAAAATATTTATTTTTGGAGAGCCAAAGACTTCACCTTTTCAATTATAGAGAAAAATAATTAGTTCTATAGAAGAACATAAAAAGGAAGAGAAGTTACAATATTTTTAGTGATATCATGAATTTTGAGTGAATAAAAGTTAAAAGCTTAACCCATTTGGCTAATCCATATTTTACCCATAGTTTACCCATATTTTTATGGGTTGAATATGGGTATCAACTCATTTTTTACCCATGTAAAAGGTCACTCACCCAGCCCATTAAAATATGGGCGGGTTGGGCGGATTACCAAAATATGGGCTCATTTTGCCGGCACTACCGTCGAACTTTGACAAAAGGTTCATCAATTCCATCCATTAAAAGTTTGGCTCATCTATGCCATTTTCATTAGAGAAAAGGCTCATCCATGCCATTATTTGTTAACTGAAATGACATAAATGAGTCAAACTTTTAACAGATGGCATAGATGAGCCTTTTCTCAAAGTTTTATGGCATATTTTAGTCTCAAAGTATTAACCCCTACTGTCCGTACAGTACTTCACTGAAATTTTGAACTGCATTCATAATTCACATTGATTAACCATCTAATCTTTTCACAGAACCAAAAGAATGAGGCCTTATCTGCTGACTTTAACCTTCAACGCTTCAGAGTGAGAAGGCATTTCAGAAGAAAGTTCCAGATTTATACACACTTCAACCTCCGTTAAGTGCAAACAAATGAGGCCTTAAACACTGCGCCCAATAAAAGTACATCACATAAATGGGATGGAGGAGTATATTCCCTTTAAGGAAAAAACCACATTTAGTTTCCTCAGTTAAGCACCTTAAGCAACATATGGCCAGAAGCATGAGAATATATGGTTTTTATTGGTGTCACCTTTTTTACTTTATTCCCCTATTTCTTTATATCACAAAATCTTGCTTGTTTCTTGGCCAAATGCCGGTTAATATAAGTTAAAATCAATTATGCATCAAGTCCAAATAGTCAGAGTTGTCTACATGAATCCTTTGTGTTCACACCGCTCGTTTTGACTCCATTTCGTTCCAATACGGATAATTTGATTTCTCCTGCTTCATTTTGTTCTGTGTGAATCAGGTGTCTAAAACCAAAGGTTCTCAAAATGTCACACTTATCCCTCTATTGAAATACAACTCTAAGAAGAAGACTCCTACCAAACACCAAAACTAGTGTAATAACAACTGAATCTCAATAACCAATTAAAAAAAAAAAAAAGAACCTTAATAGCAACTAGTCCCTGCGTAGATCATTTGTCATTATCATATTAACAAATACCAATGGTTTCATCGGTATATCTAGTATCTCACCAACTCTTTCAGTGATGCTTTTTATTGGTCAGTAATTTTCCCTAAGATCAGAATCAATCTCAAACCTCATGTTGGTTAAACTTTCTTCCGGGGAGACAACAGGATTGAAATAGGTTTACCCATTTGAGCATTAAATGACAACCTTTATCGAGTCGTCAATGTTCCCATCCACATAATAAGCAATTGAAGAGCATATTAGCAGTATCTACAATCTAAAACATTGTAATAATTGATATAAATAGGAGTTCATATGAGCTCATTGTTGAAAATATTCCTATTGAACAACATCAAAAATTTTACCTGTATACTCGCATATGAATTTCCCTTTTGGAATGAATTCAGCAGCACACAAGCTCCAGCCTTTTCTCCTATCCTTCACAACCTTCAGCTTCACTGAAATTCCTTTCTGAGTTAACCTATTACCGCACTCCAACCCGCAACCGCAACTTGGCCCGCATTCTCGGGTCGGCAAATCAGAAAAATCCATACATGCGCAATTAGAACCGGAGTCCAAGTCGCAACTCTCACAATCGCATCCATAAGCACCCTCCACCCGGACTATAAACGGGTCCGACCTAACCCGACCCGATCCACCTCCCCAGGGGATGGATGGAGAGGTAGGTAAGGTCTGAACAGGGGAATAGATGAAATTGGCGTAAAGTTCGGAGTCGACGAAGTTGAAGAAAGGAATAGGGTAATTCTCCAAGTTTCTAGAAGCATCGGAGATTCGACTGGAAGTAATAGTCTTGGAAACTACATGTAACACCTTGCAGGTTGCTGAAACGGAGGCTAGACCGGCAGGCTCTAAGTATGGAAAAACGAGATGGGCGAACCGGCAAAGTATTCCGGCGCCGTCGTCGTCTTTTTCCGATTCGCCGGTTCTTTGTTGTTTGTCCATTGTTGCCACAATTTTTTTTGGGAAAGGTCTGCCTCAACTTTGTCATCGTTATGAAAGTGGCTCATATATATTCTTATCGTTATAGAAACGGCTTACATATACCCCTACCGTTACAAAATGAGCTTACATATACTCTTAATTTAACGAAAGTGAAAAAATAGTTTTAAATTTATGCTTTTGACTTTTTAATTTAAAAAAAATCATGTAGGGATATATATATGATCCTTCTAGCAATTTTTAAGATATATTTTAATCTTTTTTATACATAAATTATTTTCTGACGTCTTTGATTATCATTTTTTGAGTTTCTTATTCTTATTTTATTTTTTTCTTTCATTCCTTAGTGTAAAGAGAAAATTTTAAAACTAATTTTTTTGTGGCTATATTATAATTTAAAACTATTTTTTCGACTATATTGTTATTTAGTTTTTGTATTGAAAAAAAAATTGGGTCATCTAATAATAAAGTTTACAAGAAAATTAGTGAAACATAAATAAATTTGACCATCAAAATAATAACTTTAAATTAGTCGTTGAAACAAAAAAAAGTCAAAAAAATTATGTGTGAGGAGGATTAAATATACCCATATGGGATTATAGTTTTTTTAAAATAATAATAATTAAAATATTAAATTAAAATTATTTTTTTCACTTAGGGTATATGTGAGTCATTTGTATAGCAACAGAGGCATATATGAGCTATTTTCATAATGAGGGGTATATGAGCTCTAAATGATAAAGTTAAGGGTATATCATACCATTTTCCCTTTTTTTTTTTATGATTCAGGTATGTCAAAATTTAACAGCTATATAGTTCAATAAAAGGTTTATTATTTTTTAATTTGAGTTTAGAGTCTTAGTTTTTTTTATTTAACCTGGGACTTTCCTATATTTTATACTTTCCTCAAATTCAACTCTTGTAACTAAACCGTTCTATACTCAATTAAGGAATAGAGTTCAAAAAGTTTTTGTTTTCATTGTTTAAGCAGCAATTTCTTTTCTTTTTTTTCATAAATCTAAAATAAAACAAAAAAGGGATTTTGATGACAAATATTTAACAATTTACTATGTTTATTAAATTTGAGGAAGACAATAGAAAAATTATTTAATCATAAACACTCAAAAAAAAAAATCATTAATTTTAAAAATATGCAACACAAAAAAAGTATATTACATTCTAAAATAATTTGCGGAAACTTTCAAAATTATATCTCTAAAGATGTGAATTTTTGCTTATTTCCTTTTGGCATAGTATCCTTAAATTCAATGTATGGAGTTCAGTAAATAATAATTTAACTTTAAAAAAACTCCTAGCATTCATGACGAAATGCCTAAATGGCTTGAGCATATGTTTAGTTGTTAACATGAGTTCCTATTATCGTTATTGTTATAGATGGAAGTTGCATATTACACTTAGGATTATAATAGTGGTATGTACGTAATGATTAAATCTTTTTTTCGCCGCTACGGCATGACCTTTCAATTACATGTTATATATGAGTTTGTGAGTCCCTAATTGTCATGTTATATGTTTCATGCTTATGTACTTCTTTTAGTTATTGTAGCTCCTATTGAGTTGACCCTTCATGCATGATCACCTCATATGATCTATAGTAAATATATATTAGACATTGAAAATCAACAAAGAAACACTTTTGCTATAAAAACAAATAATTATTTGAGACATTTTTGCTGCTATAAGAGATTAAAAATACAATTTTTTTTGTACTATTCTATAAATTTAAACAACTTTCCCTATACTTTGTATTACACAATTTGCTGTACTAGTGTATAGTTTCTCTCTTTTCATCTTTTGCTCAGTTTTTGGTGATTTGAAAATTGTCTTCCAACTTTCTTGTATTTGCATTCACATACTACAAAATGGAAAAAGAAAAATTTAGAAAATTCTAAGATATGTGTAACAAAAAATGTACATTTGTAACACTCACCTCAATAGTCAATGAATTTCTTGTTGCATGAACTCGCACGTATCCAAATTCAGCTTTTCTTACCAAACTCCATTCATCAGCCTGTGTATATCATTAGTAACGTTGAGTTACTTTATTAATTTTGTAACTTTATGAATAAAGTACGGTTGTTATTTTAAACGAGTCGAGCTGAACTTAATTAATTACCTGAGAAGGGAATTGGTCCAAGCTAAAGCCAGCCATTCCAATAACAGCATGAACAGGTGCACTATAATTGGTATTATCATAAGTATCAATTCCACTTGCATCTTTAGTAGGCAATGCTTTACATTCCTTTTGATATACTGCACAAGTCCTCTCATAATTGTGAACATGTCCAAATAATGCTAGATCAACCTGGCACGTTTTTCCATGCAACGAATTAATTCTGATAAAAACGATAATCATTTTTGAAATTTCTCGATATCTAGTGTAGCTTCATATTATCGAGGATATGACTCTAGATAAGGAGTGAAGGTCGCGTATTAGGGTAGAAGGTTTGTAGAGGTACAGTGTGTTGTCTTGCGTTCCATAAGTTTAGGCTTATCAGTGCATGTTGTAGCACTAGTTGTACCCTTGTAGTTCTTGTTATATGGTGTTTATATATTGTATTCAGTATTTCGATTATGACACTACTTTGTTGTTGTTATTATATCTTTCTTGTAGACTTTATACTATTTTTCTTAGAGCAAACTACACAAATCCCACTAGTTTAGGTCCTAATTACCATGATTCACGTTAGTTTAGAATATTACTTCCTATACCATATTTTGATATTTGGATACATGCATCATGACTTGTCAGATACATGTATTTGATAGTTAAAAAAAGCTAGATACATGTTTATTATTTTTTAATTAAATGTGTGTAACTGTTATCCTTAATTAAAGGAGTAATTGAGTATTAATTAAGAACTCTAGCAGATTTTGGCCTTTGAATACATGTATTCGAAGGTTAAAAATCGAGATACGTGTATCCAACGGGTAAAAAGATCGAGATACATGTTTTATTAATTTTGAAATAGATGTGTATTACTATTTTCCTTGATCAAAGGAGTAATTGAGTATTAATTGATAACTCTAACAATTTTGGCCTTTGAATACATGTATCCGAGGTTTAAAAAATTGAGATACGTGTATCTGACGGGTAAACAAGATCAAGATACATGTTTTATTAATTTTGAAATAGATGTGTATTACT